AGTCTTCGACGACCGATATCCAGGACAAGATTGTCGAGAACAAGTCTCCTGAAGAGCTCATGACCCTCCTGACACTTCTCACTGATGACAAGTTTCATAACACACATGTCCACGAGAAGCTGGACAAGCTTATCGAGCAAATCTACAACGACTCAGAAGTCAAGGAACGCCTCGACAAGATCATCGAGGAGAAGTACAACGACACAGAGGTTCGCGAGAAGCTAGACAAGATCATCGATGAGAAGTACGACGATTCTCAAGTACATGAGAAGCTCGCCACCATCATTGAGTCGAAGTATGATGATTCGGAGGTTCGGGAAAAGCTTGAGAAAATTATCGAGTCCAAGTATGACGACGCCGAGGTGCGGGCCAAGCTTGACAAGATCATCGAAGAAAAATACGACGACGCACCAATCAAGGAAATCCTGGGCATGCTCGTTGAACAGAAGTACGACGACACGCCCGTGCGTGAGAAGCTTGATTTGATCATGGACTCCAAGTACGACGACACTTTGGTCCGCGAGAAGCTCGATCTGGTTCTGGATGGCCGATATGACGACGCCGTTGTGCAAGAAAAGCTCGACAAATTGGTCGACCACAGCGCCGTTGCCGACCATGCTTTTAGTCGCCTTGACACTCTTGACAAGGTTCATGCCTCAGTAGTCCAGACAGCTGCTGATATTTCTGAGTTCCTCTCAGCGCAGAAGCAGCGAATTGAGCAGGCTCACGAAGACCATACCAAGACTCTTCAAGAGACCATGGCATCTGTGGAACGCAAGCTTGCTGAGAAGGATCATGTTGAGGCAGCAGTTGCAAGTCTTCGAGATGAGGAGGAGAGGCTTCGACAGAGCGTTATGACGTTGAAAACGGAACAGGAGAGTCTGATTCGCCAGAAGACACGCTTAACCGGTGATGTCTCTTCCCTTGAGACGGCTCTTCATATGCGCAAAGAGGAGCTCTATGACATGGAATCTCGTGCCGAAAATCTGGAGCGCCGGATCCTCGAGGGTGTTATGGACCATTCTCGAGTCCTCCTCATGGCAAAGGCCAATAGAAACGGTGGCGATGCTATGAGCCGCAAACGTGTTAGAAAGCCTGCCAACGAGGAGGAGTCTCAGGAAGCAGGTGTACATGGTCGCAAGTCTATGGTGGGCATGGCACTGAACGCCAAACGCAACTTGGCTGCTCCAGTACAGAACGGAGCAGGTCGCAGAATCGTTTCGCTCAGCCAGATCAACAACAATGTAGCTTCTGGAGGTGTCAAGCGCAGCCAGAGTGTACGAACACCCTTGGGCGGCGGCAAAACATACCGCAAGCGAAGCTGGGGTGGTAATCTCGACAAAGGCCTCGCCGACAATGACAAAGAGAACACCGTCAATGAGACTGTCGAGGAGGTTGATGAGGCAGATGCCAAGTCGGCTACAGCCCCAGAGGCGACAGAAGCCTCTACAGACGAGACAATAGTCATTGAATCGACACCCAATGATGAGGGAGCGGATGGTGGTGAGGGTGGCGACAGCGACAACGAAACCCTGAGAAGAAGCAGCCGAGGTACCGTAGTCACGAACAGCACAGATATGTATACGGATGGTGACGAGTATAGTGAGTACAGTTACACTGAAAGCGAGTGGACAGAGAGCAATGTTGGGACTGATGCTGGGTCAGTGCAAGGTAACGAGGTAGTGGTTTATGGGAATTAACGCGGAGGAGTAATGACGGCGAGTCTGATTTAGCTGGTATACCATTCATGTTTATTTCGAGATGGAAACGAGACTAAGGGGACTTGAGTTTGGGTCTGATGTTGCTTTGGTAAAGGCATTGATTGTATGATGGAGCGAGCGTTCAGGATTGGCATGGGCTTTGATGAGATTGGATCGACTTTTCCCCCCTTTTTCTTAGTATTCGCAGTTTGCTTTAGTCGACTTTGATGAGCATCATGTTTTCTTGATAACTTTAGTAACAAAAGAATGTACGAATCAATAATTTGACTAAGACTGTGCTCATGGATATGATCTTGAGAGAATCTCGCATCCGCAGGCAAAGCCCAAATGCAACGGCTGATCCAGGCCACCTTAAACCCATGGTGAGCAGCAAAATAAAATACGAAAAAAAAAAGAAAGAAAAAAAAAGGACGAGGATGCATTGACACGTAGACGCTGCTGATTTAGAATATCTAGGGGAGGCAAGAAAACTTAAGACCTTGATCCTAAGTGACAAAAAGACTTAGGTAAATTAGCATAAGCTTAGGAGGCTCTTTGATAAGTTTAGTTTGGTATTCTGTATCCCACGTCTGAAGTTTTCTTGCTCCCTGAGGGGTGTAATAAGTACCTAGGTAGGTAGATTGGGATATAAAGAATGCAAGCCTTGGAGCTCCACTTCAATGGGCTGCTGAATTACCTTATCTTATCGGCAATTGAATTGAACGAGCCCCTCCAGTAACCGCGTCAGGCTACGTAGGATAAACATATAATTTGCGGACCAAGATTCAACGACGAACGTGATTCTTGACGACTTGTTTTCCCGCACGATCGATTAATTACATTCATCGCCATGGATCAAACCCAAGCTGGAGGCCTCCTTGACCCTCCTGAGCTTACACCGCTCGAGCAAGAGGTTTTAGACGAGTACGAACGCTTGGCCGATAACATGAACAAAGTGCGCCTCTCTCATTCTTCTTGGAACAGACAAAGTCTAACGCTATTCTCAGCTCGCCACTGTCCTCGAACATCTTGCTTCGAATCCCAGTACAGAAATCCTTGACGGCCTTCGCGAGCTCGAGCGCAAGACGAGTCTAGCCTTTACTCTTCTCAAGGCCAGTGTCTACAGCATAGTCTTGCAGCAGGAGATTGACTGGGGTGATGGATCGACAGCGTAATGAATTTAAATGAATTAAACAAGAACGAGAGGATAGATTTGTGGTGGAAGAGACGAGGATTGATACCCAACTAAATATGATACGCGAAACGATACTTTCTTTCACATGGCAATACAACCGACATTCGATATCAAGTGATGTTACATCAACTATACCATTTCTACCATATCAAGGACATCAGGGGCATTCCCTCTATTACAGGCTACAGATACACGATTTTTTTCTTTGATGATACAAGTGGTTTGCGTGAGAATGGGTTTAATATACAGCTCCTCCATAGTACACCTTGCGCACGTCCACCAGCTTCTTGCCCCGGCCGATGGCGATCTGCTCGGGGTCGGGCTGGTTGGTCAACGCTTGGTACGCCGCCTTGACAGAGTTCATGGGGTTCTTGGATCGAGGCATGCGGGCAGCGATATCGTGGATACCGGCGGCGCGGCACATCTCGAAGATACGGTGAGGGCAGCGGAGTCCGAAGCCTGGGAGGGAGGAAGTTAGCTAGCATGATCACGTAGTTACCGGTGATGAGTGGATAGTTACCGGGAGGACGGGCCATCAGCTCGACTACAGTGCCTGAAATCTTGGCAGATACATTACCATAGATAGTACGGTTCTCATATCGTCGGACGGGTTTCATGTTGCGGATAGCCAACATCTGAGCTGTCTCCTCAGCCACACCGGCCTCAGTAGACTTTGCCATACCAAGCCCTAGACGGCCGTTTCCGTTACCAGCAATGGCAACCACAGAGGTACTGCGGACCTTGCCTAGACGAGTTTGATTGGAGACCCAACGAGTCACAAGACCTTTGGTCAGCAGCGAGCGAATGTCCTTGAGACTCATGCCTGTCAGGCGCTTGATCTCTTGGTACTTGCCCGAGTCGTCCTGACCCTGATCCTCGGGGTCAACGGCGTGCTTGTACAAGCCTTTGACACCGGGGACCTTGCCAAGATCAGGTGCCTCAGCTGTGTAGGTCCGATCAACACCCGCGGGACCATCCTGAATGAGCTCAAGATTCGAAGGCTCAACCTCACCCTGACTGCCGAAACCGACAATCTTGTCGAGCTCGGCCTCCCATGCCTCGTCAACAGCCTCATCCAACTTCTCAGCCTGGGAGCGAGTCATGAACTCAGGACCCTTATCGTTTGCAGTCGGCTCAGGACCGTCCTCGGCGATAATGTAGCGCTTGATCAGCTCCGGGTCCTTTTCGATGTCCTTGAGCTCCTCCTCAGTGAGATCTATCAAGTCTTCTCCCTGGCTCTCCTTCACACGCCGCAGTGCCCGAACCATGGCACGGGTAAGTTGGTCGCTTGTCTTCTTGTCGGTGATCTTCATCATTTTTTGTCCGTAATTGTCGATCCATTCGCTCTTGTCAGGCCATTGCACCTCTCTCGGGGTGCCTCCGATCTCAGGCTTGATATCGTAGCGGGGGTCCAGCACGGTATAATCCTCGATATAGGTTGGCTTGTAGGGATCGTCACGTAACCGACCCTGAATGATCATATCTTCGGGGTTGACGGCTTTCTCGCCCAACTCAATAGCCTCAAGCTGCTCTGGTGTGTAGGAGGCCTTGAGGCTCTCCAAATCCTGCTTGGACAAGTCGGCAAACTTGTCCTGCTTGTACTTGTCCATGCCCGCGGTAAATTCACCCGACTCTTTGACCAGACCTAGCTCCCGGGCCGTGACATTTCGAAACCGAGACTTTCGCTTCGACCTGGGTGCTGTGCTATGGAATTGACTACATGGTACGAGAGGGATGGTGACTGAAGCGGTTCGAGATGAGCCGATGCATCTGCTGAGGAGGTTGCGCGCTGGACGTGCGACGCTCATGGTCGGCAGGAAGCGGAGGAGTATTAATTCGAGGAGGGCCAGCGGCAAGGGAGGAAGAGGAGGAGGAGGTCGGGTTTACTGGCGTGTCTCTCTCTCTCTCGCTCTCTCTCGTATCTCTCACACGAGCTAGAGATTTTTTGGGGCCCAAGAAATGGATGGTTCTCAACTGACGAGATCCCCATGCGGTTAGCGGTTGAAGAACGGCAGAAGCCAATCAGATGGGGGCTTTCATCAACTACCTACCATGGAAGGCAGAGCCGACCCTGGAACTTCCATTCTCCGTCCATCCATAAATCACGTGCGGCAGAGAATGCTTGTCTAAATCAACCTCATCCCTTCCATGTCGGAACGTTCCATGAAGCCACCAAAACTTTTCAACCACATCAATCCTCTTCAGTTAACATTAGTGACGCCATTATGAAGCCCAATGAGTGGGATTGAAAAGTTTCCCCTTTTCTTTAGGTACTAGCCGCTTGTTTTTATCCTACTTTCACTATATCGAGTAGCTACAGCCAATCATGAACCACCTTCACATCAGTCGACTTTTGTTACAAGGTGAAACGTCTCAGTAACACCCCTGGAAGCCAAGCGACTGTTAGGGGTCTTCCACCGTTGTCACCAGTCGCTGTGGACCATTTACCAGATTTGCTTCGCCTCCCGTCTGCCACTTTAACTCTTTTTCTCTTCTCATAGCTATCTTGATATCTCTATTTGTCTTTATTCTATTCCATTCCAAGAACATATTATATTCTATTCCCATTCTGTACGTGACTGGCGCACTGTACGACTCATTCAAACTGAATAATCGGGCATTCCTTAATCAAAAATACTCATTATAATACAACGACGACGATAACGACAACGATACCTTCATCTTCACCAGACATACCTTGCCCTCCACGATGGGTCAATTCGACTGGTTCTCCTCCATCGGCGCTACAGACGAGGCTGTTGCTGTCCTCAACGACCAACCTATTATTTTCACCATCCTCTTGGTGGTCCTTGTGGCCGTCATCCTGCAAATCGTCCTTCTCTGGTACATTCACTATGCAACCATGAAGCCTGAGCAGCGCAAAGCAAAACAGGACAAGAAGGATAAGAAGAAAGCAGGAAAGACAGCCAAGCCAAGCAAATAAGCACCATCTATGCCTCCAGACATTATCAACACCAATCTTTGTCCTGGCCAATGACCGCCATTTTCAATCTTATCGACTTAACATTCAACAACACAACCGCCTCACGATTTCTATAAGACGGGCGCATACGTCACGCTACACTTGCCTCTCCCATATGTCATCTATAATATATAAACTTTTCTTAGAGCATCGTCAAGTCTCGCAACTTTGGTCAAATACTCTTGGTTTCCGAGTGATACGTTTCCACCGTCAGATTTCAGTCTAAGTTACATTTGATTGTCGCAGATTAGCCAGTGGTCCAGACTTAAGAAGTTTGCTGGGTCGGCCATCGTATCTTGTCTTGTTGTGAAGTCAGTATCCTGCCTCATCCAAGCTTGCTCAAGTGGCATCTCATTCATAAATTCCATTGTGTCAAAACCAGTTCCAACCCAACCAGTTTTACCAAGCCATGGCTCTGGCCAACTTGTGGAGGTTGGGCTGTTTGCAATATCGCTCCATAGATCCCGATGCGTTTCGACAAGCTCAAGACTCGAATCCGTTATTGCTTCGTGGGGCTCCTCATCCTTCGCAAAGTCGAGGTAACCATCCATGATATCCCAGCTCACGTCCATCATTGTACACCCCTGACGTTTCCGATGCACACATTCGCCGGATTCTGGCACCTTTTCATCTGTCGCTCCAATTGACTGCTGTAATTCAGGAACAACAGACGTTTGATCCGAAATGCGAGCATCCCGGGTCGGGAATATCGTTCTTTTTAGTTTTCTCCTATTTGTCAATGGAGGCATCTGGACATGTACAAGAAGCACCTCCTAGGCCTTTCTCTCCAATATGTCCACAGAGCCTTTTGTTCCACTGTGAGGGTGAGAAAATGCCTCGTAGCCCAATGCTAGATCAGCCACTTGCTGTCTGAGCACTGGAGATTCGGCATGCTGCATGCTTGCTAAGGATGTGGCAATGATGGGTAGTAGTTCGGCGCGGTCCGATACGCTCTGCTTCTTGTATCAGCGACTGAAATAGATGATTGTTAAGAGCCATACCTTGAGATAAGGCATATGAAAGACTCCCGGCGCAAGCTCGGTGAGGCAGTAACTGAACCCGCAGCCCCAGACTTGATAGCCCCTGTACGTTCTCTCTGGCGCCAGCATCAACTGCTCGAAGAGGATGTCGATCAAGGACGACGACTGCAGGTCTTCCAATACTTTAATGTTCGTAATGTTGTCCCTCCTGTAGAGAGTCTGCGATGCATTTCCGTTCACGTCTTTGCATGGGGAGTTGAGACTGGATATGAAGCTGTCAATAGCTTGTTGGTCGGCCAGCTCCAGAGTGTCCAACAGATTGCTCTCGATACGGCCGTCGGCCCTTTTATTTGGCCTGCCCCTCTTCTTCCGCCGCTCACTCGTCTTTGGACACTTTCGAGGCCGTTCTTCTTCCTGGGACATGTTGCGTACATCGACCGACAACATTAGATTTCGAAATGTGGCGGTACAGGCGGAAACTGGGGCAACGAGAGCCGATGAGAGATTTGGGTGCTGGAGTGAGAAAGATAGTAGTCCAGGTGGCTGAACCGAGCATGATCGATTATACTCTAGATGAATGCCCAGGCGATCCCAAATCTGATCAACTTAGTTATAACCAACTCAGAAATTTCCAGGCATAGCTAATATACCTCGCAACTACTAACTACCCCGGCGATGTTATTGAGACGGGAAGTCTCCAGGACCGGACGCCCATTCACCGCAATAGAAACTTCCATGCAGCAAGCACCGGACCGAGCAATCCAAAGATGAGAATCTTCCACTGCCGAGAAGAGATCTGTAATCGTTGCGATATGCAGTGCGCCATCAGGGATATCGATGTTGAACGATGATGAAGCTGACAGTTCGACATTTGCCTGGTTTGCAATCACACGAATAGTGGGGAGTCGCAATGCGCACGACATTTCTATTCCATGCTTGAGCGGGCAATGGGACAGGAGTCGATATGAAATCTTCCGTGGTGTTGTGGTCGGGGCATGTTAATCTCGCGAATCGCACTTGCCGCCGAGGAAGGAGTTGATTGTCTATCCCAACGAGAGTGCGAAGCACCCGACGGGACAGTGGAAACAAGAAGGAGAGATCAGATAACATCCATTACGTAAGGTACCTAGGTAGGTACTATTTTATACGCAGCATCCAAAATGTTATAAGCAGTTAGAAGGAATAGATAGACACTAGGTATCGTAGCCAAATCGCTGTTCATTAGGGTAAGATAGATGTCCAAAATATGATAGTCCCTACTACCAAGGTAAGTCAACTGCATAAATCTTTGGTGTGTACATCATTATCTGGCTGTATCCAATCCAAGCCAGGATAGGCGCACAAAGTCTATAAAATGCACCCTATATTTGCATCCATAATTATAATGCACATGCGTGCTCCGTAAACTCCGATCGATCAATTGATGATTACTTTGCAAACCATGGGAACTTCTTCTTGGCCGGCTCAGCGAGCCCCCCTGAGCCACTTTCAACCTGCACACTTCGCTGGTAAATGTCCTGGTTGACTCGGTTAGTTTATGTCCTTGACGGAACCTGCAACATAATTCTCACCTCTTCATCTGTTGGCATGCGACAACCCAGAATCAGTTCTCTCGCAGTGTCATGCTTGGTTAGATTTGGGTATGGCGTGCTCTGGCTCTTCATGATTGGTAGCAGGACCTCTCCCAGAACCTCAAACTTCTTCCAATTGATACGGTCTCCTTCTGAACCGACAAATGTTCTGCTTCCTTCCTCTGCCGACACCAAGTCTCTTCGATGAAGAGGAATGAAAGGAATCCGGGGGAGAGAAGAGTTTTCCCAGGCTAGGCGGTAGGCGAAATGGCTCTTCTGAGTTCCCATCAATATGCCCAACCGCGCAAATCGCTTTTGGACTTCTGCTGGTACTAGTGTTCTCGTCTGATTCAGTCGATGAATGGCCGTCCCGTTTACACCTGCCAGAATAGCTGCCAGTCCATTGTAGTTGTTGAGTTGCCGTAGCTTGAGTGAAATATTCATAAATTTCTCCAATATTAGTGCTCGGTGCTTGGCTTTGTCCCGCAGCAGGATCATGTTGGCAACCCATTTGGCAACATGATTGAAATGGTTAATCATTCGATTCACATTCCGTAAACTCTTGCACCGCTCCTTTTGGGACGCGGATAGGCTGACGTGTCGAACAAAATCGCGTATGCGAATCGAGGAAAACATGATCCAATCGATTCTGGTCAACTCATCCGCAACATCATCATCGGGGATGTCCATGAATATATGGTAGCGGAATTTGTTCATAGGTAAGTTGTCCGTGGGCTCCAGGTTGCTCGCAGCTCTTTCGTAATCCTCAAACGTATGGAAATGCACCTGGCTCGAGACACTGCTGCTTCTGTCCGCAAGAGAGACCTCTGAGCTTCCAGATGGTCTTACGTCCGTGTCCGATTCTACTGTCAACACACTCACACCCGATGACAGCTCGTTCATGTCCTTTGACAAGATCTCACTTGCGAGCTTATCACTCGCCTCATCCGAGTTCGCCCAACCTGTATCGTCATCTTCCACAACATTGAATTGGAGATGTCGTCGCATATGTTGTGCTGCGATTGAGAAAATCGGTTCTGTGCTGAGATGCCTGATAAACTCCTCCAAGTTTCGTCTGGTTTGAGGACGGGCGAAGTCGCCTGGGTAGAGTGATACCCATTTCGCAACCACCTCGATGATTCGGAGCTGTGTGGCTGTTTTGGAAAGGTAATGCGCTGTCTTGTCGTCCCTCACTTTGTCCAATCGGGTTAAAATGGCAGTGAATAGCTCACCAGGAGCCGCAAACTTGCGATAAAGACATAGAAAAACATCAGAGAAGTTGTTGTCGATTCTTGTCAAGCGAGGAGCAAGAAGGCGATCAACTAGCTCATCAAATGTTACGCCTGCCATTTTCGCTTGCTTGTCCAGCATGTTATCGTCGTTCCTTTGAAGTATCGGGATGTCGTCGGAGTATCGATAGGATTCTGCGTCAGACTCATCCACATCCAAAAACGAATCAGTACTGGGTCTATCGAGTCGAATACCAGGAGTCCTTAGCATATTATTGAGTGTTTGCGCTTGGCCTAGTTCTCCTGCCTCGGGATTCGAGCTGGCTGTATGTCCTTGCCTAGGGCTCCGAGACGACTGCGTCCGGTAGTTTTCATTAAGTGGAGGATTGGAGAACCCCTTGAGTAAAGAGAAATCGGAGCTTGCTCGACTGTGTTTGCTATGTTGGCTAATGGGGCGCCCTGTGCCAACGTCAGGAGCTTCTAAATTAGCAGCAGACTGCGCTCGCCTGCGCGAGAACGTTTCGCCATTTTCTTCTAAACCATAGTCAGCAAGATTCTGTAGGCAATATCTTCCTCGTGCACTCGCCTCTTCGATGGGCTATGGCGGCTCTCAAGATGGTGTGAAGGCATGTTTTAGCAACCTCAGTATCATTCGAGGAGATTTTGTAGGTTGAAACGCAAGATTTAAAGAGTTGATGACTCGCGATGGCTTCAGCGTTGACCTGCCATTCTGCTTCAGGGGTTTCACATTTGCAAGCCACCAGACTGGCTGGCAAACCAGAGTTCGTGAGAGCCGCTAGAACCGATCATTTAGTACAGCCTCATACCATTCAAATAAGTGAATTTCATACCCAAAGTCTGAGGTAGCTCACGCACGGATTCATGATTTGTGACATCATATAATATGAGAGCAGCGTCGACGCGAGGGACGATATGCCCATTGATCTGTTTTGGCCACTGAATGGGCTGCGTAGGGTTCAGTTCGAAGTACTCTAGGTCCAGCTCGAGTAAGGTCACGGCGTGAGAGTTGTTGTCAATCAGCATGCGGACGCTGGAAGCATTCGAGATAGGTGGTCGAGACAGGCCCAAGACCCGCTGGACAAAGGATGATTTGCCAACGCCGGTGGAACCGATGACGGCAATGTTGAAACTTTCCATAGTCGGTGATGTTTGGGACTGTATAGCGTCAAGCTGTGGTCAGCCGTCTGTCGCAAAACTGCCTCTACCATCCAAAACCTGGATAACCGTTTGTTGAGCAACGCTGCCCCGCGATAGCTAGGGTGGGGCCGCATGTGATGGAACATGGTTACATACCCAGTATGAAGAGGGTGTAGCGGTCAAAGATTCTCGTCGTGGAGGCGGCCAGTATTGGCTTGGTTCGTTATCATTGCTGTCGGGCTTCAGTTTCTTTCCGCCGCCGCTTTTGCGCTTCGCTTGCTTTGCCGCTTTGCCGAAGTTGTGCCCCTTTGTGTCGTGAAAAAGATGCTCGTGGTCCTCGTCTTCTAGCGATTGGTAGATGGAACTTCCATCAGATTGATCCTCGTCCTCGGAAACTGCAGCAGCTTGAACGGCCGGGTCGTAGGTCTGGAAGAAGGGGTCGTCAATAATTGAACCGACTGAATCTCGATGGCCGTTGGCCGGGGCTGAAGGATCGGAGTCGCTTTCGATGTTGGGGTCTATGGACGTAGGGCCTGAAGCGGCAATGCCTGAAGTTGGGTGAGCATTCTGTGAATCGGCGTGATTGGGTTGCATTGTCGCAACTTCAGCGACTAGGCTGAGTGGTAGAGATAAACATGGACGGGATAGACTCGATGCCAGCAAGCGCAAATGGCAGATGGAGGGGACCAAATCCTTGCGGGGATGGAAGAACTCGTGGAGCTTGCTTGACTAAGGTAGGGTAGCTACAGCAGGGGTTCAAACCCGTAGTAAGGTAGGCTGTACGAGAGAGAGAGAATGGAGAAGGGATGAAAAGGCTTGTGGTCTGCGTAACGAGAGACAAGAAGGCACTAAATGAAGAGCAAACGAGGGAGGGAGACGACTTTACCGTACCTTAGTGACTGACAAGGCCTGCACTGTACCGTGCTTGGGGAACCAACGGAATGAATTGGTTCGATATCCAATTGGTGGCAGTTTGGCGACCTAGTGAGAGGGATGGATGCGCAGATACCGCGGAAACAAGCACTGCGTCCTTTGGGTGGCAGCCAGAAGGCGAGACAAATGGAACCGGTGTCTTGGATTAGTATAGTTGACTGAATGTTCAGAACAATGAAGATTGGAGTCCTATCGGCTCTCGTCTCGAGGCAGACACTGGGCCGCTACCTAAGGTATTCTGAGGCAATACCCAATACAGGTACCAAGTCACAGAGTTGAGACACCCAACTCGGAATACTCGAAACCTATTGGAAACACACCGTGTTAGTCCAATTCGACCAACCTTAGCCATAAAACGGAAGCCAAGAACGTTTACACAACGGGACAATGCATGGCATTCCGTCCGCAAGCGGGAGAACTACCTAATAATGTGCAACCACAGTGGCCCAACCACAGTACTACAACGGAATACTGTTGGTTGAAGGCCAATCTGGATTGAATATATCTTTGTCCAGATCTGAGGAGCAGGACCTCAGACAGATGTCAAGAGAAGGGAGGCTGCGCTACGACGCGCTGTAGCGGACCCGGCGTCGTGGGTTGAAGAGTGGATGCGTGTACGTATGTTGGCGTATACGGACGCCTCTGACTCGGAGGAGAGCCACGAGGGGGGAACTCTTGAGAAACGCGTTCCTAGGAATGGATAAAGAGAATCATCAAGCTTGACACCGTCAAGTTCGACTGCGCGAAATGTCGAATCTGGCACAAAGAGGGGAGAGAGCTGGAACCGAGCCTGTGGCTCGGAACAGGGAACGTTTTAGGAGCGGATGGTCTAAGGTACGGGAGCCTTAGTTGGGCAGGCTATTTCCAGTTAAGGAAACTGGGTTCAAAGCGTTATGCAGGACTTGGGAAAGTCAACTAACAACTCATTTCTCGGCGTTGTTCTGAGGTCTGATTTAAATTGAGTGTTGACGATCAACGGTAATATCAACCATCCCTAACAATATAACAAACAGGCCAAAAAGAGAATGCGGCACGGTATCGGCATCGGCGCGGCACGAAACGGTTCCTGGAACACAAACAAAGGGTCTTTGTCCTCAACTGAGACAGTCAGCAACTCTCAGCTTCTATAAAAAGGATCCAAAACCCAATTGCCTATCACTAACTGGCCTTCAGGGCTTCTGGCTGTTCACGCACTTTTATTACACATCCCACCCCAGGATCCAATCCCGCGTGCTGTGTTGGCGCTTTCCTGCCCATTGGCCAGTGCACAATAGCCAACAGGGACTTAGCTGGCACTTGATCATTCTAGACAATCAAGGACTCACGTTCAGTTATACAAGTTCCTGGTTGATAACCACCTCAGCCAACCATGAAGAAGCGGCGCCAATATTGGAGCTGAGTACATCGCACCCACTAGGTTGATTCTGCCTTCCCTTCCACATGGCCTTCGCATCCAATGGCGACTTCTTCCCCATCCTCACCCAACCTCAACGCCATAAAGTTCCAGCTCTTATATAGAGAACCTCGTGGATCCTATGTAACCTACTATAGTCTATGGCAATGGACGTTATATAGTACGAGGCCATGGATACACCTGGTACCCTTGGTTCTCATCTCATCATTTGTCACCGAATCCCTTCGCTACCGACGCATGAATTGGTCATATCTTATGAGTGATCTCTCTGAAAGGCTAGAGTCAAGATGAGGAAATTTTATGATTCATATGAAGACTTCAGATTTGGGTTTTACTTCCAAAAGGGCATTTGTTAAAGCAAGCACAGCTTCAAGACTCACGCTAGTCGACACTTCGACACATAGAAAGCTTGATGCCGTGTTCTATTCTCCGACTTGGTTCTACACAGCTCAACCAGCTGCCCGAGGAAGCGTATAGTGGTAATAAGTACAGAATTCGTAAGAGCATGTATCCTTGACACCGAATTCTCTGCATGTAAGAAACATACTCGCCAACAGACAGCATCGCCCTCTTGTCATGACTGACCCTGATAGTCTGCACTGGCAGTGACAACGAACCTCAGAGCAACGAACGTTTCGCTATCGGCATGAGACTTTATGTCGAGTCGTGAATCTTCTCGGTATGTTTCACTGCAAACAATTCATTCCATGCCAATCAAGGGTTCTCTTGCCACCTGGATACCGATTGGGCTTTTTGAACCAGCTGGACAGGTTGCCACATATGGTCCACGGCTTGACTACTATTGTCACAAACAGTTCCCAAAACAATTCTCTGTTGTTGTGATGGAATGGAAAACGAGGCAGATCGGCCCGGTGCCCCAACAGCCAGCTTCCAGAGGGTGTGACAACTGACGTATCTGAAGATCTGGTTTGTTGTTAACGCTCGTCCGTTTCCGTATCGTAATTGTGGGGTCAGGAGCTATTCAAACTTCCTAGCACTTCACAGATTCGCTCACTGGCTTTGAGGACACGATTCATGAGGAGACACCGGAATAAACTTGGTGGTTCGCAACTAACAGAGACTCGACTTGACAACCTCCCCTGGTATTTTCATTCGATGGACTAGCTGATATAGAAATACGTCATTTATGCAGTTCCCCGAAACCCGAATACGTGGAGCCGTCCTGATGGTAGATATGCCAAAGCATAGCAACCATCTTCTTTCACTTAGTAGGACTGTCAACAGATCTGCCGCACCTTTTTGCTGAAACAGTCAAGTATACATATCTGCGACTGCGAGGATGGGATGGGATGGGATCTGACTCCGTCAATAGGGGGAAAAGGGAACGATTCCAAGATAGAACAGTTTGATGATATGCTATCCGAAGTCCTTTTTGAATTTAGACTTTGCTCATACAGAACCAAAGACTTCGACACAAAGCTATCAGCGACAAGGTGAATCAAGTTTCAAGCTATTCCCATCAACAATAACTCGGCAACGGCGAGAACCGACAGAAAGGTTACGGTACTTGCAAGTATGCCAGAAGACCCTTCAAAATGCTTTGGGGCTCTTGCCAATGCTCCGAGAGACGTTGTTCTCACCCGTGTCTGGTACTAGGGATCATAAGTCACAATCGGCTTGGCACATTCCTGTGCCCAAAAGCGGGAGCTCTTAACTCGGAAAAAGCACGAGCCGTCCTACGAGTCCTGTCAATGTCCACGGATTGTACCCGCAAAGTGTAGCGCCGCCGTCTGCCAAGTTAGGTAATACAAGTGAGGTCCCAGCGTGCCAGTGTACTGTACGTTCGTGCGCGCCAGACGATGGGGTAGGTTCAGGGACAAAGCATGCATCTGGCGATCTACATGTCAAAGGGATAGATCAATGCCGGATTCGCATCTTCGAGCGAAGCAACTCTCACGTGTTTGATCCCTCGGGCTCAACCTCTCAAAGAGGCCCCAAAGGATATTCAGTGGCCGTTGTCTTGATTCAGTGATGCTCAATCTCTGTTGGTTCGACTTAGGGTCTTAGGAGTTCTGGCCCCTCCGACTGGAATTCCATCCACGTCAACACCATTCCCCAGCTGCTATAATGTGTAGTATGCGCGTTCGGCCACTTCGAGACCCATGTTGTGTCGTCGTGCCAATTCCCTGGGAAATTGAAATGCATAATCCTCGATGACCTCCACATGTTCGTGACATTTGCTCTGTCACGAGACCTAACGATCGCCTCAATGTCTTACCCAAGGCCCTGAATGACGTTGAACCGACCCATGCAGCTGGATCCTCCAAAAACCTATCAACAGTCCTGTTGTGTGGGCTATTTCTAAAAGCAGCCATATCCGAGAAATAGGGTTTTGTCAAATATTAGATATGGAGAAATTGCCCCCTTTCGGCGATCAGGAACGCAGGCGACATTGGCTGATCATGACAAAGGGACCAAATTAAGCTCTGGCCGGACCAGTCCATCCAGCCCACTCATCGCGGACGGCTTCATAGTTTTTCTGAGTGGGCCAGGCCTGGAGTCCAGGGCTTTTTACATGCTTTGCCAAGGAACTGTAGCCATGACGATGCTCACATTTTAGTTGTAGCTGGAGACATTTATCTTGCTAGGATCCCCAACATCCGTCGAGTATGCTTGAAGACTGTTTCAAGTTTTCTCATTTGGTCAAAGAACCGTGAAACGCAGGCTCGTTTGTTGATATAACATTACCGGTGGTCAGCGACCCTGAAGTCGTCACAGTGGCATTCAACCCCCTAGGATCTCATCCCATATCCCCTTCTCCAAGCCCGTCACCTAGCTTGCCCAGCATGACTACAACAATGCTGTACACAACGGGTATCTCAATGGAGGAGCCGACCCATCGATTCTTGCCCACGACAGTGGCTCCTGGGAAACCAAGGCATCGACCAAAGGCCCTTCAGATCCAGCCATTGGACCCCAACGAATTAAGCGCGAAATTGAACGATATCTCAGTTGAGCACGACAGCCAGCCTCGTCGTCCAGTTCATGCAGAGGACGCACTTCAGCCTCTATTATCTGCAACAAGTATGGGCGCCCCTTCTCCCCGGACTATTCAGGCAACGCATGCGTCGCCAGCAATTCCAACCACAGTATCATCAAGAGCCTTCAAGAAGGAGAAGATTGATGATAAGCTCAGTTCACCCTTGTCTGCAAAACCGCCACGCCGTGGTAGCTTTTTTGATGCATTCCGCTTCAGGGGCTCAAACTACACTGATGAGCTGCAGAAGCAGGATGAGGAGGACGATGTTCAGAAGCCTGCTCGTTACAAGCATGTTCCTCAGGTGGCAGCGCAACAATTTGCTCGCACCACAACTGTCGAGCCCCTCACGCAGAAAGCTTCACCCAAAGGGATGAGGCCTGCACCCGGCCCTCACTCTATGAACAATGGCACAATATCGCTGCAAGATTACAACAGGCAGTATAGAAGAGCACAGAGTCTTTGCAGCGGCAGACCAACGAGTGCCAACAACGTTTCGAGAATGGGAGGCACTGAGTTGGACAAAGCATCAGCCCAACGCAAGAGACAAACCGCCCGAAATTCCATGCTCTTGAATGTCAATGGACCTGAGCTATCACGAAGAATGAGCACGGGCAACATGCAGCCCCTGCCTCAAGCCCGGAGAGATTCAATAGGTACGGGTGTTGGAGGCTTCCAAGGGAACGTCCCATCATCTGCGAGGCGTGGATCTGCAAGCTCGTCAGGTTTCTCCGATGCATCATCGCCCTTTGTACGCGAATCTGGCCCAGCAACCCCTTTCAAGCAAGAGTTTGGTATCAACACTTCCCCTAACCGTCGAGGGTCTGAGACTAGTGCAGCCACTTCTGGTTCGCGGAGAGGTAGTTTTGTTAACGTCCCCAATCCTCAGCACGCGGCCGAGATACACCGTGTGGACTGGTCTCAGAGTGATCAACCAGTCAAGGTTCGACGAGATTCGAAGTGGGGAGGTCTCAAGCATCGAAAGACCAGTTTGAGTCAGCAGAAGCCGAATGCTGAGCACCAGGGCCCCAGTTTTACTAAGACGGGCTCACAATCATCTGTTTCTCCGAAATCGCCAAAGGCTGGATTCTTAAAGCGATTCATGCATTAGCGAGGGAAAGAAAGAATGTGAATAACAAGGGTAATTTGACGGGTGAATGATGTATACGAAAGAGCAAAAACAACTCACCAATGATTATTGTAACATAATGACCAAATACTAAACGGAGATGAGGAAAAACTCAATATATGACCTCCGCAATCGAAGAAAGGCATCTTCAGTGTCGTGCGATATAAGTGGAGCCAAGAGAGAAGCTCAACGCTTTTCCTGCGCCATCAAGCGTTCGATGAGTTTTGTATCCTCTTGCGCAATTTGCTGCCGGAGAATATTGTCGACGTCCGTCTTTGCATTCTCGGTATTCATTAGGTGAAGGATAAGCTCTGAATACTCGCGGATAGCGTCGCCCTGCTCACCGTCCGCACGACGAGCCTTGCGCAGCGCCTCTTTCCCGTTCTGAATACCAATGTCATGGTTCCAGGCTTCTTGCTTAGGTGGTAGACCCTTAAGGAGGGAGGCGGGGATGGCAGACTTGGTCTCGGGAGGTGGAAGTGTGGCAGCATCTATTTTGCGAAGCTGGTCAGGAAGACCTGGATATTTGCGAAAGAGAAGGCGAAGTTTCTCTGAGCTTTCGAGAGCCTGAAAGGGATTCGAGGGGTCGGGGCGCTGAGGCAGTGATGTTGCTAGTGACTCGGGGAATGCCGACTGAGGTGCTGCTGGTGCGGGCTCGGGATCAGGAGGGTGATTTTCGCGATGGATCTTGTTACAAGCAACAGAACAGCTTTGATAATGTTTAGTCACCGACTGAAGTACCAATTGAGAGGTAAAGCTTACTATGGAAGGCGACATCTTGGGCATTTGTATTTTGGGGGGTTCACGTCACATACACCACAAAGTGAAGGATTTGGTTTTGTTGTCGCATTACCACCATCTTTCGCCTCAACTTGTATAGTTGGTGTAGTAGTATCTTCTGGGTGCTGGGTTGGTAGAGGTTCTGACATTATGATATCTTGTGAGATCAAGTGTGGGTATGAAGGTACCTAAGGTAAAGGAAGCTACTGTGATGGAACAGAAGTACTGTACGAAGAAAAAAAAAAGTTGACAGAAGTTTCAGTTCAAAGGGGTCTAATGGATCGCCCCGCGTCATTACCCGCTTGACATGGACCCCAGCAATTGCAAAAAAAAGGAAAAATAAAGAAGAGTAAACAAAAAAGAGAAAGACAGAAGATTGGTCCGTGCACTCACATCGGGACTTTAAACTTGCCCTTGCATCATAGGTAGCTCACGCATTACTAATGCTCGGACCTATCACGGCTAAGTGAGTGAGTTTACACAAGCGCAAGACTTGTAGCGGCGAAAAGTTGCAATAGCCATAACCGTCAATGCCGAAACTTGTTTTCCTTTTCAATTTGTTTCTCGACCAAAAGCTGTATTCTTAAGTCTTGGCTCCTTTTAAAGTCGAACCGATAACATCCTCTCTTTGACATATCTACCTTCAAAACCTTCGTCATGGCATCCTCAAGAGCCATGTCACGGACAATGGCCGCTCTCACTCGGCCCATCACAGAGACGTCTTACAGAGCAGTCCCAAGATGGACTCGTTCAATTAGCACAGTCCGATCACAACTCCTCGTCGGTTCCTCTACTTCACGGCCCCTTGCACAGCGACAGCGCAATCTTCCAACTGCCGTACCAAGCCTCGCCGGTGTCGGTAGCGGGATCCGAACCATCTTCATCCAGACGGAGACCACCCCGAACCCAGATGCCCTCAAGTTTCTACCGAATCATCGAGTTGTGCCCGAAGAACTCTCTACGCCCTTTATCGAGTATCTTAACCCCCGAGCAACCATTTCTCCGCCGTATCCCTCGCCACTCGCTGCCAAGCTCATGAATATCGATGGAGTCACTTCGGTTTTCTACGGCGCCGATTTCATCACTGTTACGAAGGCTGCAGATGCCAATTGGGCACACATTCGACCGGAGATCTTTGCCCTCATCACAGAAGCCATCACTGCAGGTGAGAAGATCGTCACTATCTCCGAACGCCGGGATGGCGAGGCCGGCGCCGCTGAGGAGGAGGATAGCCTTGCGTACAACGAAGACGACAGTGAGGTCGTTGGTATGATCAAGGAACTTCTCGAGACGCGAATTCGACCAGCTATCCAGGAAGATGGCGGAGACATAGATTTTCGAGGTTTCGATGACGAGGGGTACGTGCATCTCCGGTTACGAGGTGCTTGTCGTACTTGCGATTCCAGCACTGTCACACTCAAGAATGGAATTGAGGGCATGTTGATGCATTATGTAGGTTCCCCATTATGGCTTACACCGTGCTGTCTTTGGCTAACGTTGCTTCCAGATTGAGGAGGTTAAAGGTGTTAAGCAAGTGATGGATCAAGAGGAGGAAATTGCTTTGCAGGAGTTCGAAAAGTTTGAGGAAAAGCTTAGGCAGCAAAAGGGCCCGGCCGCCTCGGCAGCATAGACCGGCTAAAAGAAGGATTATCCATTCATTTGTATAATATTGTGGCGGGACAATTTGATGATACCCACGGAATCTTTCCCCTCCGCCTGCCAACTCATCAGTGTAAAGTGCTGGCGGAATGATGCTCTAATCGCAATTCGACGTTCACACAAAGACTTCTGTGATAAGAAATGCGCATGTACAGCATCTCGGCCCTGTGGCCTATTTTTGACAGCGGAGGTGCTTTACTCAGTATCGGATCTAGCTGGACTAATCCCAACTGAAAGTAGAGCATAGCCCAGCAAGCTAGGGATAGTCGCATCACGACAATCCCGCTGCTACCGTGCTATACCCATTATTGCAGGAGCTCTGAAGATGGGCAACAGGATTTCCAGAAAAGATCGGATTAGTCGACGTTTCGTTGTTAGAACAAAAAGGGTTGGTGGAAGAAGAGATCAGAGATCAGCCTAAAACCAACGCTTTGGGAACATTGCTGCAAGAGAAATGACACCTTCACCATACCAGCAGTGTTTGGAAGTCGTGCTGCCTGCGTACGCTTTGACGAGCATTGGTTGCTAGGAAACTGGTTTGTTTAGTATACGATCCATATATCACAAGACGACCGCCTTTTATGTATCAGTAGACTTGTCATTGGTAAAACGAACATGAGTGCCGTGTCATGATCTGGGTAGTGAGCATCTGACTTTGACATAGTGTGCGATGTTTCGAAGGGTCTGTAGCGCACCAGGACGTTTCAAAGGGTCAGTCATTGGGGTGCTTGCAGAGTTTAATGTTGCTTTAACGAGTCTTATACGTGGATGTAAATGCAGATGCGGGCGTTGGTCTTGGTGCTCCCTCGCTTTTCTTTGTACGGGCAACGATGCAAGGAGTCATGGACATCAATTGACAGCAGCTGGCTAGGAGGGACTTGTTTGAGAAATTGGCAGCTGACTGTACGAGATTTCAAATGTTCTTATGACTTTGGATTGTCGAAATAGGATCCGCAAATAGTTGTAGGGGACCCCAGCAGATACACCCATCCCCCACAGACAGGGAGAACATACCTGGTCCACCAAGACTTTGGCTCTTCGAGTCTTTGAGCAACACACGCTAGATCGTATGGATCCGAAGATAAAGCGTCACGAAATGCTCAAGTACACCGCAATTGGCCCGGTTGGCGCGATCTGGAAGCTTTCGGACATGGATCCTTTTCGGCGTAACACTGCCTTGTCAAAGAGTAACGTTGGGTCAGATAAACTACGAGAATTGGATATTGAATTTAGACCCGCCGACAGCTCCAACTGCTGGATTAGCCGTACCAGTTAAGAGCCGCCCTGAATACACCAAGGTCTCCTTGGCTCCGCCGGGAGAATGTCACAAGTCGACGTCAACAAAGAGAATCCGCGTTCCGGTTGTGGGTGGAAATGCAGGGCCGGAGAGCCGCCGGCATCTTTATCATGATACAGTAATAGCGAAAGAAGGCCCTGCAGCAATATGCCGGAAGCCCTTAACGATAACCAATGTAGTTATCTCGGTTCTTTGCTCTGGCCTCCAAGTACAATCAAGTACAGCACCTACATGGACCGGATATCTATCCAGAAGAAGCTTGTCAAGCGACCGGCAAAAAGCTGGAGAGTGAATTCAACCGCGAATTGAACTTAGCTGAAGTGAAGCCACTTTGCACTAGAAGCCCGTTGCAGTGGGATGGCGTCTTGGGATTCTCTGATCCTGTTTCTGTGATTGGCGCGGGAGTCAATATGCAGTGGGTGATACAGCCTCCACCGAGGCAAACCCCACAATCCCCTCATAGTGAGCGACGTGCGAGAGCTGTTGGCGCATCCGGATCTCGAGGCCCTGCGTTATTGTTTCAACGTGGGGAATCAGACTTGCCTTGGTACCAGGCAACCAAACATATACCGGGCGATAGCAGAGCGCATGACCCCAAATTTTTCTCCGTAGAAGAAGAGGGTATGATTTAAAAAGACCCTTTGCGCCTCGTTCTGGACGGGTTCGTTACCTCTCCTTGTGCCTTCTTTGACCCCTTCTTGAACTCAAACGTCTTACAACACCGATATAAGACTCCATTCGCAAGAGGTAAAACACATACATCGCCCACCATGAGCCCCTCAGCAGTCGAAGGAAATGGGGTCGCAGATGTCAAGACAACTCTCAAGCCTAACATTGGCGTCTACACCAACCCCAACCATGACCTCTGGGTAACGGCTGCCGAACCCTCTGCTGAAGCCGTCAAGTCCGGTTCCGACTTGAAGCATGGCGAGGTCAGTGTTGCTATCCGCAGCACTGGTATCTGCGGGTAAGTTACTCTCAGGTTCTGACCCCGCCTCACCTAGAGCAACCACTGACCAGGGTATAGCTCCGATGTTCACTTCTGGCATGCTGGTTGCATCGGCCCTATGATCGTTGAGGGCGACCACATCCTAGGTCATGAGTCGGCCGGCGAGGTTATCGCCGTGCACCCTTCTGTCAGCCATCTCAAGGTTGGCGACAGGGTCGCTGTCGAGCCGAATATCCCCTGCGGTACCTGCGAGCCCTGCCTTACTGGCCGATACAATGGTTGCGAGAGCGTCCTGTTCCTGTCAACTCCACCTGTTCCTGGCATGCTGCGCCGATATATCAACCATCCGGCTGTCTGGTGCCACAAGATTGGAAATATGTCGTTTGAGAACGGTGCTCTCCTCGAGCCTCTCAGTGTTGCCCTTGCTGGTATGCAGAGGGCTCAGGTCGCCCTGGGAGACCCCGTCCTGATTTGCGGTGCTGGACCTATCGGACTGATCACCCTTCAATGCTGTGCCGCCGCAGGTGCTTCTCCTATCGTCATCACTGATATTTCAGAGAGCCGATTGGCATTTGCTAAGGAGCTCTGCCCTCGCGTAATCACACACAAGGTCGAGCGAATGTCAGCTGAGGATTCCGCGAAAGCCATTGTTAAGAGCTTCGGAGGTGTTGAGCCCAGTATCGCTCTGGAGTGCACTGGTGTTGAAAGTAGTATCGCCTCTGCCGTCTGGTCAGTAAAGTTTGGCGGCAAGGTCTTCATCATTGGTGTCGGAAAGAACGAAATCAACATCCCCTTCATGCGCGCAAGTGTACGAGAAGTCGATATTCAGCTGCAGTATCGCTACTGCAACACCTGGCCTAGGGCTATCCGTTTGATTGAGAACAACGTGGTTGACCTCTCAAAGCTCGTCACTCACAAGTTCAAGCTTGAGGATGCCATCAAGGCATTTGAGACGTCAGCGGATCCCAAGAGCGGAGCCATCAAGGTCATGATTCAGAGCCTGGATTGAACATGGAGTAATGATCAATATAAATTTGGTGCTCGGCGTATGTTTTTGTTTTCTAGGCGCGGGTCTGTTAGAAGACCGTACAACTAGCCTCTATTTGGGATATAGACTTGAGAATATGAGAATTGGTGAAGAACCTGGCTGTCAACTGGTAATGTGAATATGACTGTGAAGTCAGGTAAAGCAGATGCTGGATACGAACATGCCGAATACGATATTTGTAAGCTCAGGAATTCAAAGATGAGGAAACCAATGTCTTTGATTCTTGTCCTCAAGCAATTCGTTTAGAAAGATAGGGAAGGATAGTAAATAATTCATCGAGGTTCTTGCCAGCCTGGAGGCCATCCAGCGGCAGCGCGGCTAGCAAGTCCGAAAACGGCTTAGTGTATTTGGCTGTCGGCTACAACCACCATCCAGCGAGTTCTTCCGAGCTTTTTTTCTCCC